TTGTTCACAAAATTTGAGTTCGAGAAACTATTTTCATTATTCTACTGTACCTTATAAGCAGCCAAAGAAGCTATATACATAAAAAGCTGGTTACTAATGGCTGTTTTGCGAAATTGAGAGCAATTTCAAATCTGTTCAGTTTTTTTTTATACACCCTGTATATATAGTACTACAAATTGTGACAGGGAATCACAACAGCTTTTGACCAATTACTGTGGTTCCAGGCCTATATTTCCGACTTGCGCTAAAAAAGAATGTAAATACTTGCTTGATAACAATAGGGCCATTTATACGAGACAAAATAAGACGCGACTTACATAAGACGCGACTTAAATAAGACGCGAGTTTGTCGTATAAAAGGCACAAAATTCTTATGTAAGACGCGTCTTGGATAAGACACGACTTAAATAAGAACAGGACTTTTAGCTGTTCTTATTTAAGTTGCGTCTTAAATAAGAAATTTTGGACAAAAATTCTAACTACACATGCCCGAAACTTGAAACAACGTTAAATTATTAGCCTTGCATATTAAAACAAAAACAACCGAAACAACATTATAGCTATAGCAAGTAAATAAGAATAAAGCCGTAGAGAACCATTTATGCGATAACTCCGCTTATTTAAGTCGCGTCTTATGTAAGTCGCGTCTTATTTTGTCTCGTATAAATGGCCCTAATGAGGCATTCCGATTTCAGGATTTCACTATTGGTAAAAAAGTCAATTACCTTTCAGTGTGGAGCATCACTACGAAGATGTCCACGATGGCTTCATGTCATGAATATTAAAAATGGTCGCAGTTTCATTAATACAAGTTGCTTGCGGTTTAGAATTCTAAACGAGAAAAAGAATACGATGCATGCATTTAGGTGACAAAACTACTTTTTGTTAACTAATAACGGGGTCGAGTTAAATTTGGAGTTTCTGAAGAACTCACGAGAGGACGTTTCAAATTGCATGAGAATTCATTAACTACATAATAAATTATTATATACATTGCAGGATGAAGAAAATCTTATCATGATTTTTTTGTGTAAATAATTTGCTATTTAATTAATTATTTAAG